TGGTGCTTGAATTCCAGCTCTATACTGATGAGCATTGGCCCTGTCATTCTCTCCAACATAGACCTGTGGCTACTCATATCTCCTTTGTTGGTGTTGGAAGGGCTGATGGTGGGGCACCTGTTGTCTTTGCTGTACATTGGCCTGATGCCTCTGCTGATTAGCTGGAGCTTGTCCCTGGTGGACATAAGCTTGCTGTTGATGTACCTGTTCCTGATGAACATTACCCTGATGTAACCCTTGACCAGCTCCATTACCAGCTGCATTACCAGCTCCATTACCCTGAGCATGTTGCTCCTGAGCCGGTTGCTCCATGTCAACCACATGCTCTCTTTGATCTTCCATATCAGCCTCATCAATCTGTCTTCCACGCCTGTCCCTTCTTGTCCTTGGTACCAAAAGATTAATGTTGTCCTTTAAGGGGAAAGGTGGACCACAGCTTCTTGATCTGGACCTGGTGTTCATGCACCTGAAACTCACAAACAGAACTTGAAAGAAATTAGAAAACACAGAAGAAAATGCTTGATCTCAAGAAATGACACAATCTTAATGTTATCACACTTTGGCAACGGCGCCAATTGATATCTTAGAGTTTTCAAGGCTCTAAATGAGGGGTTATCAATCCCTTTTGTCACTTTGCAGTACAAAGGGTATCAATCAATCATGTGTAGACACTAAGATGCAGAGTCAGTTCTTAATTCAAGCCAAATGAGTGAGGTTTTGATGTTACTTCCACTAAACAAACCTAAAACAAGAATTAAAAGCTAATGATCAACTTAAATAAGCAAATGACAAGATGTGATGATATGAAATGATGGAAGCATGAGATTCTAGACATGATAGTTGGCTAGGGTGCTTTGATGCTAAATCAGGAATGCTAATGACAATGATGAGACATGATTCAAGTGATTTAGAACTCTAATCTAGATTAATCCTCTCATGAAAGCATTCACCTCTACACTAATCCATTTTCAAACCAAATCATCATTTGTGAAATATGAATCAATGAGCATTAAGAAACAGTTCTAAAAGATCATTCAAGCAAATAACAAAACATTATCATGCAGCAAACGCTTAAACCTCTAATACAGCTCTTTCAGTAATTTCATCAAACACTTGTGGTGCATGAAATTCCCAGAATCTAGATCACAAGTGATGTGCAAGGATCTAGCCTAGAGAACAGCTGTTTCGAGAAATGAGTCAATGAATCTATCCCTAAGCACTCCTAATCTAACACCTTAGCACCCTAACCTACACATCTAGAACCTCATTATGCTAAACTACTCACTAATCATACTAATCTCTCTTAAACCTTTGCAAGTTGAGAAGATTGGCATGATTAATGATGAGAAATGGAGATGGAGAAGATAGATGGTGATGGGTTTGCAGCTTTAAACACAGAAATCTCTCAATCTCTCTGATTAAAACTCACAAAGGGGTGGAAAATGAAGATGGAGATGATGGATAATGATAGATTTCAGCTTTAAACCCTAATTACTCTCTTGATTCAACCCAGAAAATGAAGATCTCTCTTACAAAGTTCAGGTTTTTCACAAAAGAGGCAAAGAAAACAAAGAGAATAAAGCTTAGTCTGCTGGATAATGCCTAAAACATATATATAGGTAGGGTTTCTTGCTGGGCCAACCTAGGACAAACTAGTTTTTGGCCCAAAAAAGGTCCACAAAAATGTCATGAAGCGAGAATGTATCAAGGTGATTTTGGCCGGTGTACAGGTCGTATTTCTTCGGCGATTTGAGGTTGGTTACACCGAGACACTACACCGGCTGAATTCACCTCGGTGCGGCGTCATGGATAGCTTCAGGTGATAAATACCGAGCAGAGTTCAGTCTGTGCAAGACGTCGATATTTCTTCGGCAATTTGGCTTCCAAAAGCCAGCCAAAAACGTCAAGGTTCCAAGGTAATACCGACCAGATTTTGGTCGATATTCCTTCTCGATATGGATGTAGACCGCTTGCACCAAATCCTTCATAACTCCTTGCTCATTGATCCGAACCTCGATCTTCCACTTCCAAGAACTGTATGACATCCTTAGCTCCAAGTTTGGTGAAGGGCGCAACCCCGTATGACATTGGAAAAGCCCCCGTCTTGTCGGTTCTTTGAGGCGCATCGCATAAGACTTGATCGGACCGCGAGACATGTGTTCCTTCCGATGGCGATATCTCCTAGTTCATGGCTCCAAAACGTCTTATTCCAAGTGTTCGGAAACTAGACGCATTCCTCTTGATTCTTGATGAAGATACCGGAGGTTGAATCGCATTGAAAGTCCTTCGTCCCACGCGATCAAAGTGAGGGTTTTGTCTGCACCAAACCATCTGTCCGAGTTGCTGTACACAGGTGAGGGTTCTTCCATGATCCCAGCTCCAAGTTGCTCCCAAAAGTCTCCCAATGACCTGAGAACACTCCAAAAATGCAGGACACTCTAGGACCTAATGCAAATCCTAAACAAAGCTAGAACCAAAGACAAACTCTAATAAAACTAGCTAAATGTATGCCTGAGACTCAATATTTGGACAAAAATGCAGTCCTAATCATGACAAAATATGAGTATATCATTTCGTGGAAAATTAAATGTTGCTTGGTTGAATGTTTAATTTGGTTGCTTGGTGAAATATATTCTGGTTTGAATATATTGTATAGATAGGAACACTACATTTTGGTGGTAACCCCACACATGTTTTGTTCGACTCGGGAGCATTGCATAGTTTTGTGATTCCCGAGGTAGCGTCAAGGATTGACAAATGGGAAAATTCGAGGGAGGTTTGTATCTCTGTATTAACCCCTAGAGATAAAACCTTAGTGGCCTCGCAGGAGATGATAGGTGTACCTATAGAGATCCTAAAGAAAACATTTTTAGCAAACCTTTTAGTAGCACCTATTAGTCGATTTGAGGTAATACTGGGGATGGATTGGCTGTCTAGACATTGAGTGCATCTAGACTGTGGTCGAGGGAAGATCATCTTCGAGGGAGGCCAACCATCAGAGATTACGTATCAGGGCATGAGGCCAGAGACAGTTACCTCATTGATAGCGGCAGTTCGAGTGTTGAAAGAAGTGGAAGCTGACTTGGTTGCTATCAGTGTTGTAGAGGAAGAGAAAGATAATGAGTTATCCGTGGAAGATATTCCCGTGGTGGGGGAATATGAGGATGTGTTTAAATTGCTGACAGAGTTGCCTCCGCCTCCGAGCAATCCGTTCACAATTAATTTGGAACCAGGAGCGGCTCCAATCGCGAAAACTCCCTTTTGGATGGCACCGGCGGGGCTAGCAGAACTGAAGGCACAGTTGAAGGACCTTTTGGATAAAGGCTTCATCCGACCTAGTTCATCGCCATGGGGAGCTCTAGTGCTATTTGTGAAGAAGAAGGATGGAAGCATGCGGATTTGCATTGATTACAGGGGGATCAACAACGTCACGATCAAGGACAAGTATCCACTTCCGAGGATCGATGAATTATTGGCTCAGTTGCAAGGAGCAAGCTAGTTCTCTAAGATAGATTTGGCGTCGGGGTATCACCAGATTCCAATCTTAGAGAAGGACGTAATGAAGACGGCATTCAACACTCTCTTACGGGCAGTACGAGTTTGTGGTGATGCCGTTTGGGCTAACCAATGCGCCAGCGGTCTTCATGAGATTGATGAACGAGGTGTTTCACGACTATTTGGATAGTTTCGTGATCGTGTTCATCGATGACATGTTAATCTACTCAAAGAATAAGGAGGAGCATGGAGAGAACCTGAGGAAGGTCCTGGAGAGATTAAGAACGAGGAAGCTGTATGCTAAGTTTAGTAAATGCAGATTTTGGAAAAGGGAGATAGGATTCCTCGAACATCGGGTGTTAGAACAAGTGGTGTCAGCGGATCCAGAGAAGATTACAATTATCCAGGAGTGTCCACGACCCACAACTGTAACGGAAGTGAGAAGTTTTCTAGGTTTGGCAGGATACTATCGGAAGTTTGTGAAAGGATTCTCGTCCATAGCCAAGCCTTTAACTAAACTCACAGGGAAGGATGTGCCCTTTGTGTGGAACGAAGAGGTGGAGAAGGCGTTCGTCAAGCTTAAGGAAGCTTTGACAACAGCACCGGTATTAGCCTTACCTGAGCCAGGGAAACCTTATACTGTGTACACGAATGCATCACGAGTGCGATTAGGGTGCATCTTGATGCAGGAAGGAAGGACCATAGCCTATGCATCACGACAGTTAAGGAAGCACGAAGAAAACTACCCTACTCATGATCTTGAGATGGCAGCGGTTGTATTTGCATTGAAGATTTGGAGATCCTACTTGTACGGGGAAAGTGTACAAGTATTTACCGACCATAAAAGTCTTAAATACTTGTTCACTCAACCAGATCTCAACCTGCGCCAGAGAAGGTGGATGGAGTTCATCACCGACTACAACATCCAGATTCAATACCATCCGCGCAAGGCGAACACGGTCGCGGACGCATTGAGCCGGCGAAGGACAGATTTGAGCAGGCAGGACGAGATGGAAATGTTGAGTAAGGAGCTAAGCCTGGTGAGTTTAGCGGCCTTAAATGGAGAAACCGGCGAACCCATGGGACTCCAAGAAGTAAATCAAGCAAGTCTAATCCAGAGAATTCGGGAAACACAGCAGAGAGACACGGAGTGCCAAAGACTAGTGGAGAGACTTGAAAACCCTGAGGAACCAACGGTTAGTGGTTTTCACTTAGCGGAAGATGGGACTCTTCTACTTAAGGGGAGAATCACAGTTCCTAGAAAAGACGGATTAAGGGAAGAAATCTTGAGGATGGCACACCAGTCACGCTGGAGCATTCACCCAGGTAGTACCAAAATGTACAAGGACATCAGGAAGTACTATCACTGGGTAGGAATCAAAAGAGCAGTGGCGGATAGGGTGGCAAAGTGCCAAATTTGCAAGCAGATCAAGGAGGAGCATCCAGTACCAGGTGGTCTGCTACAGAGTCTACCAGTGCCACAGTGGAAGTGAGACACGATCTCGATGGACTTCATTGGAGGTCTACCGGTGGGAAAAGGCAGAATGAATAATTTGATATGGGTCATTGTCGACCGAATGACCAAAATTGCCCATTTGCTAGCAATTCGGGATACGGATCCAGTAGAGGTGTTAGCTGAGTTATACGTGAATGAGATCGTGAAACTTCATGGAGTCCCAGCGCGGATCATATCAGATCGAGATCCAAGGTTCACAGCAGCGTTTTGGCGAGCATTGCAAGGAGCCTTAGGCACAGAAGTAAAGATGAGCACGGCGTTTCATCCTGAGACAAACGGACAAACGGAACGCACTATCCAAACAATCGAGGATTTGTTGCGGCTGTGTATTCTGAACTGGGCTAAGGTATGGGAAAAAAACCTACCCTTGGTTGAATTCTCGTACAAAAATAGCTTCCATGCGAGCATCAGCATGTCTCCATATGAAGCTTTATATGGGAGACCATGCCAAACCCCTCTGTGTTGGACGGAAATTGGGGAGAGGAAGCTATTCGGACCACCAATGGTGGAGAGACCATAGAGAAGTTGCAGGTGGTCCGAACCAATATGATGAAAGCCCAGGATCGGCAAAAGAAGTATGCTGATCAGAATCAAAGAGAAGTGACGTTCGCGGTAGGAGACTTGGTGTATATGAAGGAAACTGCACAGAAGGGGAAAGACCGCTTTGGGAAAGTTGGTAAGCTGGCAGATCACGGGAAGAGTGGGAGAGGTGGCATATCGGTTGGAATTGCCCTCAGACATGAAACTTCACCCAGTGTTTCATGCCTCCATGCTTCGGAAGCATGTACCAGATCCGAATGCGATAATGCGAGATCTGCAGCTGGATTTGATGTATCGGGAAGGGGCCTTTGAGTATTGGAGAAAGGCGAGTGAGAAAGTTAAAGAACCGAGAGATATCACAGATCCAAAAGTGTTGGGGGAGACAAAACCGGGAGGTAAACACGTGGGAGGACAAGGCACGGTTCAAGGAAGAGTACCCAGAGTTCTTCGAGGAAGACACCATCATCGAGCATGGGGGAGCCGTCACAGTCTTAATAGAATTCGAGATAATAGAATTCGCGACCAAGAGAGGCAGTTCTGTCGAGACAGAATGAAGTTTGGCCGAACAGTTCAAGTTTCAGGTCGGGAAAACCGGGGTTAAGGCGGGGTGGAAACCGCATAACCAGGAGACGTGATGGCACGGATCCCAAGGATAGTGGCAGACAAGACCAGGTGGGTATGCTGGCTAACTGGGGGACAGCCAGCCGCCAGTCTCAGCAGTAGCACGGGCTACAGATCAGACTAGACTGGACGGGTTAGAGAGGGGACAGCGAGCCGCCGATGTCAGGCCTAGCGTGGGCTAGTGGTCGGACTAGTCAGGGACAGGACAGAGCAGCTTGAGCCGCAAGTTAAGGCATGTGTCTAGACACATGTCGCGACACGGCGCTGCCGCCAGAATGGACCAATCCGGGACAGTTAGGTGTCAAAATCCACTAAGCCTTAGTTCCCCCTATAAATACTGAACCTTTTAGCCATTTTCTCACTTTTGTTCTAAGCTTTAGAGAGAGAGAAAGTTAGAGAGATAGTTAGTGAAAAATAGAGTGGTGGAAGGAGTGCGGAGCATTTTCCGGCGATAGGTGTATCACGGTAGCTAGCGGAAACAGGATCGGTCGATAAGCTTTAGATTTCGGTTATAAATATTATTTACCTTAGGCTCGACTATTACTTAGATAATGTTTATAGATCCAAAGGAAGTCTTGAAGCACCGAGCAGGGGATCTAGAGAGTTGATCCAAGAAAGGTGATCCAAGAAAGGTGAGTTCCGAACTTAGGGATGGTGCTGGGGTTAACATGGTCCAGAAGCACTGGGGTTGTGTCTGTACGCCAAATCCATGCATGAGCACGGTGAAATGGTAAGGGGGTTAATGTCTAGGGGGTTGAATAATTTTAAGGGTAAAACTATTGAACCAGGCATTTGTGTGATGTGTGAATATCCTGAGGGTTAGATAGTTTCCTGGGGTGAAACTATCCAGCCGGATATTGTGTGGAGACAATACCTAGAGGATCTATTAGTTTTCTGGGGTAAAATTAACGGATCAGGTATTATAGTAAATAAACCCATGAATGTTTAGTAAAAGGGTTACTGTTGCATGTCATGTGTGTGGTTTATTTACACTAGAAACTTTAGGAAATGGGAAGGCACTCCCATTTTAAGCCTGTAGGGTTACTTGGGTCACTCCCTCGGCCAGGTGTTGTACATGTGTGTGACAGCAGGACCATTGTCGAGAGGGGACAAGTGGTCCAGTGGTATCAGACCTATGATCCTGTGTGGTGAGATAGGTTCCGGCTGGCAGCCACGAAATGGGGGGGGGGGGAGTGTCTAACCCAATAGAGGCCTCGAAATGAGATTTAGATGAGAAAATGGTTGCATGCATGATAGGTTTTTTGTGCTTGTAGGTTAAAGTCGTTTCCTCATGTGTACTTGATGAGTTGATTGATTTCTTGCTTTCTTGGTGGTTGCTTGCTTGAATGTTTGGGGAATTGATATATTCATAAATTGCATCATTTTAGTGTACATATTTAAGTCCAAATCATATCCCATTTGCATACATGATAGTAAAAATTTTTCAATCCTTGATCAATTCCTCAACTACTCATGTCATTGTAGCACTTGAGGTATCAATCCAAATGGAGAGATTCTAGGCAATAGAACTATGAGGAGCTATCTTAATTCAAGTCTAATAAGCAGATGAGTTGGTAACAAGGTGATCTAAAAAACATAAAGCAAACAAAGACAAGCAGTAATTAAGAACAAGCAACAAGATAAACAAAACAAAGACTCAAATTCAAAATAAGAGAAAGCTAAACCTCTAGATGTGATCATTGATCAGGGTGCTTTAAATGTGAATTCATGATGCTAAGCAAACAATGCAACACTTGCAATTCTTTAGTCTAGACTTCCCAATCAGATTAATTCATTCTCATGATAAAAATCCCTTTGTTAATTAACAAATCAAGACTAATTCCCATTAGATGAATAAGCAATCAACAAGCATAAGGTTCCAAGTCTAAAATCACCAGACAGCCTCTTTGTGCATCAAAATAAGAGCTAAGAAAGAATGAATCTTATACAGAAAGATAAAGCAAGCATCATATGATCTCAAATTCCAATTAACTTAGAACTCTAATCTAGATTAATCCTCTCATGAAGGCATTAACCTCTACACTAATCCATTTTCAAACCAAATCATCATTTGTGAAATATGAATCAATGAGCATTAAGAAACAATTCTAATATGTCATTCATGCATTTAACAATCATTCCCATGATGAAAAAGGCATAAACCCTTAAGTTAGCTCATTCAGGCATTTTATCAAACACCTTGTGGGTGGAGAAATGCCTAAGTTCTAGATCAAGCTTATAATAAGAGATCTAGCATTAAGAGCAGCTAACTAAGGAAAGGAAAGGAGAATCTAGAACCTAAACATCATAAATCAAACATCAAAGCACCTTAATCTACACACCTAGAAGCTTAAAAGAAGACTACTCACTAATCATGATGAACACACCATTTCCTTTGCAAGAAGTGATGTTAATCATGATTAGAAGCAAAGATAAGAAGATGAGATGATAAGAAACAGACTTAGATTGATTAAATCCTTGAGATATCTCTTAACAAACACGTTTTTTAACAAAAGGGGAAAGAGAAACAAGAGAAAACAAAGCTTAAGTCTTGGAAAAAACCCTAAAAAGCATATATAGTGTCTCTTGCCGACCGGGTCAGCCCAGGACAAACTGGGTACTGACCCGGCTTCAAATGGGTCATGTCTCAAGTGTGCGACATGGTCAGGTGCTTCCCAAGTCGCAGGCCCAAGTCGCACAGCCATAGAAGCAGCCTTGTGCGCCATAAACCCCTCAGCCTCAGCCGCATGCCTATCTAGGTGTAAACAGCGAATGTTTATGCTGATCAGGCTTCCTTCTCTTCAACTCGCACAACCAGGACGTATTATGGAGATAATATGTGTGCGAGTTGGTCATCTTTAGTCCCAAGTCGCAGGCCCAAGTCGGTGTAAATTGCGAACACATGTGCTACATGGTTCCACTTCATGTCCAACTCGCAGGCCTATCTCGCACAGCATTGTGGACTTAGTCATATTTGATTCTGGAAGTCTCTACCTTGCTCAGAGTCTCCTTACACTCATCTCTAAAGTCTCAACTTGTTTCCAGAGCGTTGAACATTTATGGGTGCGAATTAATCAAGTCGCAGTACTGTATCGCACAACCTAAGCCTTCTCGGACCACTTTGCATTCAGGGGAGAGTAACTTCCAGGATATGGATACAAATGGCATGATTTAAAGTGCATTGGAAAGAGGACTGAAATATCTCTAATCTTCATGACGGACCTGTAGACTGAATCGGTCTGGAAGCGCAACGGGTCGGTCCTGAAACTGTCGCGAGACAGGTGTATCTTCCGGTGAGGTTAACTCTCATATCACGACTCCAAATCCAGTGATTCGACCTGTTCTGGGACCGTGAATCGATCATCTCCAACTTTTGTGAAGGGTTTGGGTTCAGGTGACGTCGTCAAGGGCTCCGTTCCACCGGTTCTTTGATGCGCGTTGCTTTGGTCCTTTATCCGCTCCGAGACATGTACTGCTTCTTATCACCGTAACGGTTGGCTCAAAACTGCAAATAGGACGATCTAAAGTGTTCTGAAAACTAGACTCGACGCTCTTGATTCTTTATGAAGACTTTGAAGGGTAAATCTTGGTGAAAGTCCTCCTTCTCAGGTGATCAAGTTGAGGGATCGTCGGCTCCATAACACTTGTCCGAGTCTGATGCACATAAGGTGATGGTCTCTCCTTGGATTTTTTTCCCAATTGCTCCCAATTAGCTCCAAATGACCTGTAAACACTCCAAAAGTGCAAAACTCTCTAGGACCTAATGCAATCCCTAACTAAAGACAAAAGCAAAGACAAATATATGTAAAACTACCTAAATGTATGCATGAGACTCAATATTTGGACAAAAATGCAATCTTAAACATGACAAAATATGAGTATATCAACTCCCCCACATTTGTCATGTGCTTGTCCTCAAGCAAACAAGAACAAATGAGAGAGAGAGAGAGAGATTGAATGCATGGGAGTTCATATTTCCTTTGAGAGAAGTGACCACTAAGAGAATTCCAGTTCATGCTCAATATGCAATGCAAAACCATACTTTGGTGTATCAACTCAACAGTAATCTCCACAAGTTCTCCCTCAACTCTTTAACATTCATTAAGCTTTTTACCAAGTGGATCAAATGATGCATTGTTTAAACAAACAAAGTTTGTGCGAGGGTGAGGTTATGAGACTAAAATGATCTCATCAATGCCTGAGTGGGTTCAATGCAGCAAAAGGATCTCTCTATGAATGACCAAACTTAGGCAGAATGCTAAAGGTAAAAGGCAACCTATGCATACAAGGACAAGGACTCATCCCACCCCACACTCTACTCAAAGTTTCCTCACTTGCTTACTTTTCACACTCATTCTTCTCTCACTAGGGGATTCTCTTTTCCTTTTCATACACAAGTCTAGGAGTTCAAACTTTCCATAGCTCTTTTTCACTTTCTTTTGTAACCTCTAACCTCTTTTTATTTCTTTTTAAAACATTTGAGCTCTTTGGCTTCTTTTGTTTTTACTTAGAGGTTAGACTTTTTCTTTTCAAAACACTAGAGCTCACTTTCTTTGACTCAAAACTCCGAGACTGATTTCTTTTCTTTTTCTATCCCCTAGTTCCCACCATTCTCCTTTTATTTCCACTCATCTCTCCTTTTTCCACTCACCAACAAGTATTCCCCCACACTTAGTTCTTGCCAAATCTCT